AATTTTTAAAAAATTTTATTTTTAATACCCTCGTTATCAACAATCTTTTACGATCTATTGTGCAAATCAATATTTTTAGTCGAATGATCGTTGATTTTTGACTGGAAACCTTTTTATTGGCCTAAATTCCGCTCGGGACGATGGACGTGGTTTCCGAGGTTCGATATCAGTTTGTATAAAATGAATTCTTTTCAAATATAATTCTCGCATTTTATTTTTCTCGCAACATTATTGATATTGAGAACAAATCGAAACCCATGAAATGAAACTTGATTATTGAAATTGACACGGATTCATGAGTATATAGTGAACTTGATCCTATCCCTTCGTACGGACACTCGAAGGCGATAGAAATCATGTCACAAACTAAATAAAATTATATTTGTCAAAACATACCTGTTTACGTAACAATTTCTAATCACTGGCTGTTCTTTCTGTCATACTATATGTAATCATCAGTCAGTGAGTGGATATAGAAATTGGGTCATTTGTTATATTGCATTTAAAAAGAAAGAAGAGAAACATTGATTGTCTCGTCTTACATTTAAAAAGAATGAGAGATTCGAAATTCCGATTGCACATAATCATTTTATCTGATAGAGATAAATTCTAATAAAGAATTGGCAATTCAAAACCAAACAAGCAATACTTTCATAAGCCTTTAAATATGAGTGTAAAAAGATAAAGTTTAGCTAAACTGCGAACGCAGACAATCAAAGGCTTGATTAACACCGACGGGGAGACATCTTATCGACGCATCTATTTCTCAATAATCCCAACATGGAAAAATACGCGGATGGAAATCTGAAATCGTAAGTGCCAAAGTATTATTCCAGTTTTTTTTCTTAACTAATCCTCCTTAAATAGTGGGAGTCATTACAGTTTCAATCATCTATCGATAATCTAGAAGGCAACATCGTGTGTTTCACTGTTACAAATTCTGGGCAGTCTATCGCTTCAAACTTTCCAGGGATTTATTTCCTAAGCTTATAAAACGAATTCTTCTAATCTAATGAATCGCGATGAATTTGATCATCGATATCTGAATCATGCACGGGTACATAACGACACGTATTATAAACTTTTACCTACCAATTTTAATACAATTAATTCAAATCCCGTGAATGGTTGATTTACAAAAAAAACAAAGAGTACTACTCTGCACGTTTTTTATGGATCGCGTATGGTTATTGAAAATTGACTAAACAGTCTGAATACTTATGAGCGGTATATATACCAGAAGGAGGATCAGGCCAGCCCAGGTAGTTGATCAGCGGCTTCGGTGCAAGACGGTATCACTATGACGGTCGCAGAAATTAATACACAATCGCGGATCGCCATTGTCGGGGGTGGTTTGGTGCGTGTTTCGAAATTTCATTAAAAAATTTAAAATACTCCGAGGATCGATTTGTTCCACGATTTCTCATACGTGTGAATATTATTCTGTGTGTGGACTTGAGTCAGTGGAGAATCGATCCAGTTAATGTGCGATCGTTTTAGGTTGGTGCCCTGGCGGCTTGCTTCTTCGCGAAGAGGGGCCACTCGATCACAGTTTACGAGTATCGTCCAGGTGAACACTTTTCCCACGTAATTACTCACGTTTTTTAATTACTTTCTTTATTATTCCCTTCACATTTGGCAACTGATTTAGACATCAGAGTCGAAGATTCGCAAGGTCAGAGTATCGATTTAGCACTGTCGGTTAGGGGACGAGAGGCTTTGAGGGCGGTCGGTCTCGAAGATGTGATTGCCGAACGTCATGGGATTCCCATGCGTGGTAGAATGATCCACAACAAGGACGGTACTCTCAATGAGATACTTTACGATGGCGTGAAAGGAAATGTGAGTGACGATATATAAAGGGATACTTACATTTTAAATGATTTTCTATTATTTTCGAAGTACTGTTTAAGGTTGAGACGTAAGATCACTGGCAAAAGTTTGAAAGAAATTACGAATTTCTAGAAAAAATAGTATAGTTTCGACGGCAATTTGTAATGTATGAATCTCCATAAGAAGAAACGTGTTATATGAAAATTGTTATAACTTGTGTAAAAATTCATGAATGACTCTGAAATTTTGCATACGTTTCCATATTAATAAAACATACTTAGATATAAATTTGGCAAAAGATTGATTTTACTTTCAGCCTGTAAAACCTTAATATAATATCTAATGTACTAAATGACCTAATTCCTGTTCGCGTAACAATTCCTGCTCACTGACTTTTTTCTGTCACTTTATATGCAATATCATATGCCAGCGAGTAGAAATCATGACGTGAACAAAAATTGAAATATTTACCATAATCATAAAAATTTGAATACTTCGTTATTGTTCTTATTTACGTCCAACCTTAAACAAATAATTGAAAAATTATTGATGTGTCTGAAACTTGTGTAAAGATTTGTTCATTTCACTTTGACAGTGCATTTACTCGGTCAGCAGGAAATACGTAAACATAGTTCTTCTAAACGGTAAGTTGTTAATTGTACAGAGTGTCCCCGGATTAAACGATCAAACTGCACGAGTATGTTCTATGAATTAAAATGAGAAAAAAGAAATGTTATATAGACATTGGTCTGAAAATGCTTTATAAAAGAGTTATAATTAAGAAATGAACTTTATATAAGTCAGTAGTGAGTTCGTTGTTGGTACATCGAAGTGTCATAATAAGGCGACGGTATTTATGACACCTGATCCTTCTAGCCATGTTCACTAGTTGTAATATCAAGATTTATTACATTGAAAAGAAGTTTTCATTTCATTGAAAATAATTTCCATTCTCTGTTACGAATAAAAGCATTACATCCTAGCTTTATCAATCTCCGAATTTCACTGTCATCTTACTTTAGTTCAGTGACAGAATCATGGGTAAAAGGAGCATAATTTTAACAGGTCAATGTTTATATAACATTCCTTTTTCTTGTTTTTCTCGTACGACATAATGGTGAAGTTTTATCTTAAGTTTTATTTTAAGACATTATTAAACTACTTAATTACTAATAAAATAATTAAAGGCTAAACAGAAAGACGAACAGGTTTGGCGCTTATGTTAATTGACATTGGCATTCATAGAATTGTGTTAGCTCGATTTATTTAAATATCATTGATGCACATCATATTACAAATCAATCATTTCAATGTTGACCCGCGGGATGGATGAAAAAACAGACGACCGGTCATAGTTTGCCGACCCCTGATTTAGACTAATCGTGTATTATTTAAATTACGCGTTAATCTAAAAGAAGAGGAGGATGGTTAAAAAGTGGTGAGCGAATATCCGATGACGCGGTAGTGCGTGAAGCCACAAGAATTCGAGCGTGTCGAGTTTCTTGCTACCACCGGCTTGTAACTTCTTACGATCTTCAGAACGATACGCGCGACGCCAGAACGCCATTTTAATCCGACATGCGCCTACTTACCATGCGAAAAACTTTTCACATAATCTATTAAGTTTCAATGTAATCGAACCAGCGTAAACGTACTTCTCTCAAGATATCTTTTTCCCATTCTGAGACGCGGTGAGAGTTAAGTCACGTGGTATACGTCGAAGTAAAGAGAGAGAAATTTAATTGTATATTTATCCATTGAAAAACAATTTTTCATTCAACGAAACTTGATATTGATTACACAGCCGCTGAGAAATATCCCGAAGTGACGCTCCGTTTCAATCAAAAAGTCCTCGACGCGGATTTGGACAATGGGAAACTCAAAATATTAGAGTAAGCATTTTCCAATAAGAAATAGTAGAAAAGATTTTTCGGTACGAAAGGAATAGAGCGTTGAGAATTTTTTAGCACAAAGAGCCAGAAGATAGAAGACGTGGAAGCTGATTTAATAGTCGGCGCTGATGGTGCCTACTCGGTGATCAGGAGAACGATGGCCAAGAGGCCGTTGTTCAATTACAGTCAAACGTATATCGAACATGGATATGCTGAACTGATTGTGCCGGCCGATAAGGATAACAATGTAAGCGAATTTAATTTAATATAGAAATCATTTAATCAGCATGGCGACATGTCGTGAATATTTTAATTCTCACCCTATTTTGTTACTAATGGATTTTACAATCCTGTGTATAAATAAATAAATATTATTCTCAATTTGAAGTTCGTAATGACCAATCGGGATCTTCACATTTGGCCACGGGGCGAGTTCATGATGATAGCCCTGCCGAACGAGAATCGCACCTTCACTGCAAATATATTTGCTCCATTTTCCACTCTGGACAAACTGAAGACCCCTAAAGAACTTTTAGACTTCTTCGAGGACCAATTTCCAGATTTATTAGAATTGTTCGGTAGGGAAAAGCTAGTGAAGGATTACTTCGACAGGGTACCGAAGCCACTGATCTCTGTCAAGGTAACTTCTCACCTTCCATTTCTTCTTTCTGATCTCATAAACCGTACTTGAGAGAAGAATCAAGAAAAATCTTCGTTATATTCCGCGAAAATATGCGTAGTGCAAACCTTATCACATTGGTAAATGCCTTCTGGTCGGAGACGCCGCTCACGCTATGGTGCCTTTTTACGCCCAAGGAATGAACACGGTGAGTATCACCTAGAAAACCTGATGCATTCTTCATGCATCATTTTTGTGATTCAAATGAAATATAATTCAACTAAATGAAATATATAAGATCGATTTATTGATCTCTAAATTATTGAAAATTACAATTTTTGAGTTGAAAGACAGTAGCGCAAAGTTTACTTTTCTTCTATTAGGGGTTCGAAGACATTTTACTACTCGACGGTTTGATGGAATGGTACAATTCAGACTTTAGCAAAATTCTGCCGAAGTTCACGGAGCTCCGGTGCGAGGACGCACACGCGATTTGCGACCTCGCCATGTATAACTACGTTGAGGTATGTCACTTTCCTTACTAAGTAATTCCATTCAGTATTACCCACAATTTATTTTTTACTGTCTTCTAATTCCTACATGAATAACCTCAAGTGCTTAATCACAGTTAGTTCACGCTTTGCGACAGATCAGAAATTAAATATTTATAACAATTCTACATTTCATCATTTTACATGTCTAAATTATGCCTATTTACACATTTATACTATTTTGCTCATATTACATACAATTATCTAGGAGAGAGTAACATGGGCTATTCGAGGCTGTCCAAGTGGACAGCACTGTATGTTTAGAAATGATTAAAAAATAGATAATCTTTCTAGATGAGGGATTTGGTGAGGAGGACGTCGTTCCGGCTACGAAAATACCTGGACACATTCCTGTACAAGCAGTTCCCGAACACGTGGATACCGCTGTACAGCACGGTCCACTTCTCGCGGATGAGATTCCGCGACTGCATCGCGAACAAGAAATGGCAGGACAAGGTGGTCGACCTAACAGACAAAAGTTCATACGAGGAAACGTAAACGTAGCGTGCGAATCGTCGAGAACGTACGTGGACAAGTATCTCTCTTTTTTACAGATAATCCGCAGGACCGTCTGGTGCATGGCGTTCTTAATCCTCGCCGTAATGGTCTATCCCTTCGTCGAAATAACGGGGACAAGCAGTTCGCGTTAAACGGGCACAACCTCGTGGATATGTATAATTGTTTCACTCTGAATAAAATTAATTACAAGTTGTAAATTCGAGGCGATCCTCATTATTGTGGTCGATACTTAACTTTATAAAAATGTACAACCTTTAATTGATAACTTATGTTGACGCTTGAGCAAATCTCGATTAAGGCCCTTACCTTATCATTATCTTCGTCATAATCCTTATTCTAAACGCAATATCGATCTGGACTGTACAGGGTCAGCCTCGAAATATGACGATTTTTAATAACTCGTGAGGTATTTGTTGTACGATAACAATTTTTAAACAAATGGTGAATGACTTCCGAAGGTACAGTGGTGTGATCTGTTTTTTGTTTCTTTGCTTTTTAATTGAGATCTGACATTACGAGTTGTTCGAAGTCGTCACGTTACGAGACTCACTCTGTATTATTAAGGATGTATTGGCTATACAGTCAATCCCAAAAGGTTAGGCACTTTAGAAACGCATTTTTTAAAAAGAAACCAGACGTCGGAAGAACATTGCTAATAATAAACAACAACAAAAAAATTTTCGATTTTTCCAAGATTTTTCCAAGGGGTACCCCTTCAATTTCGTCCAAATTTTCGTTTTTTGCCTATAACTCCCAAACGGATGGACTTACGGAAAAATTGTATGAGACCTTTTTTGTAGAGGACGATGAGATCTACAATTTCCATACAAAAGTTATTCGCTAGCATTAATAGTTTACGAGTAATTTACGAAAAACGAAAAAACAGTTTTTTGCAATTAACTCGTTAAATATTGATGTTAGCGAAGAATTTTTGCATGGAAATTGTAGATCTCGTCGTCCCCTACAAAATGGTCCCAAAAATCTTCCTATAAGTCCATTCGTTTGGGAGTTATTGACAAAAAACGAAATTTTTCTCCAAAAGTTCGCCGTTTCGACGCTGGAATGGTCGAATTTTGTCAACATCAATAAAATGCGAAATAATCATACTTAACTCATTAAATATCGAAATTAGAAGAAGAATACACTATTTTTAATTATAGGAAATGCATTTTTCTAAGGCACATAAACTTTTAGGATTGACTGTATAGTCAATACATCCTTAAACCGTTTTAACACTATTTGATTCCTTTATGGAAACGCGTTAACATATATGGAATTTTAATTGACTAAAACCGCACAGAACTAATTATTCTACACCCACATTTCGCTTCTAATCGTTATCTATCTAGTAAGTAATTTATTTCTCTTCTAACGCTTCAACCCTTTACAATTTGTAATTGTTTTGCGATTCGTATCACGACAGTAGCTCCATTTTCACCGATTCCGCGTTTTTTATGTATTTGTGCTTCTGAGTTTCGAACAGATCTATCGTGTGTTTGATGAACTTCTCGTGGTACTCGTCGATCTGTTCTCTCGTCGGTTCCTCTACCTTTGGTACGTCCAGAGGACTGCCGACTAGAAGTCATTAATTTTCCGATAATACGTTTAAGTTTCACGCGCAACTATTTCGTCGGACATTTTGTATTATATCAAATTAGCAATTGTCAAACTATATGTTTATTGTATTTATTATTAAACTAAACACGGTTCTTGTAATAAATATATTATTTCACGGTGTAGAAAACATTTCGTAATGTGAAAAATATAAGGGAAGGTCGTGAATGCTTACCGACAACGGTGATAGGCCTCCGATGCGGGGCTACTCCGAAGGAGTATTGAAAAAGTCCACGTCCCTTCAGGACAACCGGTGCCAGACCGATTATCTTACGAACATAGTGCTGAAACTTTCTGAAGGACGTCCCCTCAGGTCTGTAAAACTGGTCGTACAGATCCGTTTCCCCAAACGGAATAACAGGCACTAAGGGAGTCCTGAAATTTCAAACGAAGAAACGTTAGCAAAAGAATTAGTAAAAACTTGAATAAAAACAATGACAATCTTTTGAAATTGTAACAGTTATTAGATATCACATTAATAAATCACTGTTCAAAATTGTAGATATTTTACGGGGCTATTAAAAAGTCAATACATCTTGAATTCTCATGGATGGCAAAATTTTCATTTCATCCATGAAAAACTGTAGATGTATGTAAGATCGAAAAATATAGTTTTGGCTAATTTTGTGGATAACATTGACAGTCTGTCTTAATATGTCGCTTATCAGTCTACTTAAAAGCAGAAATAAGCAAAGTTCAAATTTAAGTGATAATATTTCCTGAAATGGTATTAGTTCTCCAAGATTGAAAGAGAATTAACAGAGAATAGGTCTGCGCGTTAATTTGTATCGTCGTAAACATTAGTAAATCTAACCCATGCTTCAGTGCCAGCTTTATGAAGCCTTTTCGCTTTTTTACCAGGGTGCGATACGTGCCCGGTTGACACTCCAACGATTCCGATGCTCCTCCGACGATCAGAATCGTTATCTTGCCCGTGTACGGCGCAGGAGGTTTCGTCGATAGCTGATAGTTCAAACTCTCCGAGGAGCTGCTCACAGCACCTGTTCAAATCGATCATGACAAACATGAAAATTTATGAACAATATTAACTCATTTGCGTCATAAGGAAGTATAAACATGAGGGAGGTTGCCTATGGCCGGTATTCAGAGTCGTACTCACCGTTCATATAAGCATACTCGCGGAAGAACGGGACCTTGAAATGTTGATCCAGGATCACGACCCGTATTTCGAGTCCCGGGAACAACTGTTTGCAGCCGAGGAAGTCCGAGCTAAACGCGCCGCAGATGCCTGAGGACATAATCCCGTGCGGGACACTGCAAAACAAGTAGTTTCGCGTCGGATCCAAATCGGTAGTCTTTACCAATTTCAACGGGAAGTAATCGCAGTAGTTGCGCATCCATGCGGAGTTCCTCAGCCACTTGCACCACCTTTCACTGAAATAAACGATTTGCTATTAAGGGGTTGGACTCCGACTGTAGCAGACTGTACAATTACTGGAACTTACCTTCTACCGCCTTTGTTGCACGTGTCCCAGTCGTAGTACATATAAAGAAAATAGATCGGCATAAGGTATCGCACGTACTCTGTGTAAAGAAGCAGGTAGCCGGCGAGTACATAGCCGAGAAAGTTGCCGGTTATTATTAGAACGACCCAAACTGTAACGGAAAGTGTTTCCAGTCGCCGTTTCAACGGCACGTTAAACGGCGCAAATTTTATCCCAAGAATCTCCATTGTTTATCTCGTTTGACTCTCCCTCCCTCGATCGTATCAATGCAATTTCTTCGGCGTATCTGGTGACAAACCATTCGACGCGAATGTTGTGTTAAAACAATAACTTTTCTAAGGACCGGTCATTTTCACTGAGCGCGGTAAGAAGAGATATGGAAAAAGTGGCGTAGATTAATGTTAAATTGATAATGCCAAGTCTTATTTTTCATTAGAATCTAGCCTTATTTACTGTATCCTATCAATAATATTCAAGATACAACTGGGCTTAATGATCTTCAGTCGTCGTTAAAATCTTCAGTTGGTTGTAGGAACCGGTCTCTGCCATAAATTTAAGAAATGTGATAAAAAGCTATGTCCAATATTTGAAGCTATAAACCTTAAGGAAAAATGATATTTACAGAGAATTAAAATTTATAAAATCGTTCGACTTATTATTTCAAGGTACGGAGAATTTTTAATGTATAATTCTTAATACTTTCTATATGGTTTTGGCACTTTTTTGTAGGATTGCATACGAATTTACGACTGTTTCCATTGTCTACAAGTCGTACAAGTTTTCTCACTTTTTATTGTCTATCTTAAACAACATCCTCGAAGTTGATGTCGTTTTAACTTTAAAATATTCTCAAAATATGTATTAACAATTGTACAAAATTACAAAATTCTGTCATTGTTGCATCCACACTTTCTCATAAATGAAATCAAAATTTTCAACATAAAAATTTGAAGATAACTTTTTTCGGAGCCTTGCAAAATTTCTGAATATTCCACAGTCTTTTATTAATGTAATACCTAATATTAGGTTGAGGGAGTAACTGTAAAAATTTCAATGAATTATCGTTGTTTTAAATAGCATCTGTACTGCATATTCATGATCTGATTTGAATTCTTTCCATATTTTATTTCATTTATTAACAGTCCGACAGTAAGAGTATTAAAAAAAATGCTAATACGAGATCAAGTATACCAATACATAATTTATCAGCCAATATTTACATGAATCAATTTAAAATTCAGCTGCGTTATTTAGCCATTGTATATTTATTCTCTTCTCTGAATGAATGGCAATATCCGAACGACAGTCGGAAATGGTACATAGGTGTTCACCGCAAACTATTGATTATCGACAAGATGAAATCCGGATGAATAGAAACGATGAGCAGTGACTCGAATGATAAATCAGGGTCAACGATCTCGAACAGTGGGACGTTTCCCGAGATACGCGTTTCAAACGGGAGCCCGCGTCTCGCGCTCAAACCGACATTATCAAGACGGAGCGTGGGGCTAAGTGTGTCAAGTACATGCCAGCTCACCGACAGCTTATCCAAATAAGAATTCGTCCACTTGTACATACATTTTTAACCTTTCGCGAGTAAACGAGCCATGACATTCGAAGCCGTGAAACGTGTACTTTGACTGCTTTCATCGATACTTCCTATTTAATTTAATTTATTTAGAAATAGTTTCCAAAACGCTCCGAGTTACGAGTCGTTGAATACAACCGAGTTAGAGTCGTCGACCTCACCCAGATTTCTTTTGATAACGCCGGTCCAAATTTCAGTCCCTGTATTAATTAGATTCTAACGGTGCTCCGATGAACTGACTCGCTGGTGCAACGCGTGGCAAACGTGGTCCGGACTTAGAAACTAAATCGTTCACGTGCTCTTCGAACAATGCAAATACATTATTTATAGCAAGAGAAAAGGAATTGAATTAGCTAAATAAAATAGATCGAATTATTCTTTCGCTACTAAACGTATGAGCTATGTATGTAGTATTTTAATTTCTGTTATACTCAATACCGTTTGCTTTCTACGATTTTATAAAATTTTGTGTCAATGATTTTTAATCACTTTTACTTAAAAATTAGAAAAATTACTTAGAACTTTGTATGTACATTTTCCTAATTTTATCAAATTATTGATTTCATACATCAGATTTGATAAAATCATCAAAGTATGTATATGAAATTTTATAAGAA